GAGGAATGAGAACACACTCCCGCTGATGCTTAGTCTCTGGGTACTATGTCCTCCACTTCTTACCCAAGACCTGAAGCTCCTCCCTTGGGCTGATTGATGGACCTTGTACAGTTCTGGGTGGCCGAAGGGCACTGTTCTAGGAGCCCTAAGCACTAACATGGACTTCCCTGCACCCTGTAAGAGAAATCCAGGATCTTGCTTATTGCCGGCCAGTCTGGCCTGAGTGTCAGGTGGCTGACGCCGCATGACAGAGACAAACGGCTACATCTTCCTGAAAGTTACACATGCCTCACAGGGGACCTGTGGAGCTGCCCGGGACCCGCCAGAGCCGTCTGCATTGCCACCGTGCACCTGGCAGCCTGAAGCCGGCAGACACCGCTCCGACAGACGCCACCTCTGCTCCTGCCCACGTGTGGCCATCCTGATGTCCAGGTTGGTCCCTGCCCAGTGACATGAGGCACTGTGAGGACCTCACACTGTGCGGTGTGAGTGGTGAGCCTGGGGACCGCTCCTCCCCACCCTAGCTCACTTGCCACAGATGAAGTGTTTTAATTTCTCTAACAGCTTGAATTCACAGATTCACTCAAAAAATATTTAGGAGAGCCTACTGTATGCCAGGGGCTGTTTTCATGTTTTTTGGACACAGTTGAGGAAACAAATATAAAGTGCCTGTCCTTACGGGGTTGACCAAACCCAAAGTGTATCATGTCCTGCGTGATAAGTGCAATGGGTGAGGCAGAGGAAGGGGAAATGGGTGCCACGGGAGTGATGAGCAGCATCTGAGGGGAAACCTTCCTGCGGGAGGTGGGCATGAGGAAAGATGCAGAAAACAGGCTCCAGGGAGGAAGTCCCATAAATGCAAAGGCCCTGGGGTAGCAGCAAGATTAGTGAGTCAGGAAAGACAGGCTTGTGGCTGGAAACGAAGGGACGCACACTAGGGGCCTCACGTTGTGAGATCAAATCTGTACTTGGAAACGTATCTGTCTCTGAGTTACAGAACCTGTCCATCGCTAGGTTGGCTGGTATTATCTTGTTCCAGCGTCTCTTATGGTCTTTATAATTTCCTCACAGCCTGGTGACCATTTCCACTTGCAATTCAGAGTGTAGTGAGGGCAAGCCTGACCCCCAAACTACCCTCTGCTCCCCTGGAAGGTCAGGCAGAGCTACAAAGACAAGCTAGGCCTTCTCCACCTCCAAGGCCAAGCCCCACGGGAAGAGGAGGCTGGCTGTCACAGCGCCAGCCTTCAGGAGCCAAATCACTGCCCCTTCCATCTCCCCAGGGGTCATCACTGCTCCCCAGAAAGGCAGGGTAGAGCCTCGGGGAAGAAACAGAAAAATAACAGCATGTAAAGGGGTCCCGGAGTCAGAAACAGGAAAAAAGATAACAATGAAGACAGGTTCATAATGAAACAGAGCTGCCAGAGGAAGCAGGTGACAACTTTAAACCAATTAACTTGAATCTCCAGGAGACTGAAGCATAGAATGCCGGGACTAGAAAATGTGGCCTCCAGGATTTAAAATTCAATAAAGGAACTGAAGGCTTGCAGGATCACTGTTGAGACTCACATCATAGAGCAAAATTATAAAGAGACAGAGGCCACGAGAGAGATGGCTGTAAACAGAGAAGATGGACTCAGAAGACCCGACAGGCAGATCAAAAGTAAGAGATCTGAAAAGTAAGAGAGACAACAATTAAAAAAAAATCAAAGGAGTATTTTCCTAAAGCCTGTGAGAAGAAAGGAATCCCAAAGTCCTAGGTAAGGCTGATGCACAAAAACACATACCCAGGTGTTTGCTGATAGAATTTCTGAACTCAAAGGCCAAAGAGAATCTTAAAAGCTTCCAGCCAAAAAAAACGAGTTAGACTCATGTGAAAGAGAACAGTCTGGGTTCTCACCTGTCACCCCGGGCACAGGCAGATCGTGGGAAACAGCTAAAGCGGCCTGAAAGGAAAGGAATGCCACCCACAGCCCTCCCACCCTGTCACTCCTGCTGCAAGGAAATGTGTGGCTATGAAAGGGGCCAGAGCGCCAGCACATGTGCCCAACAGTAGTTCTGCACAACGTGGATGAAGCAGGACCTGGACCTCAGCACGAACAGGAAATAAAAGCAGAAAACTCAGCTACAGCAGCGGACCTTACAGTTTATGAACTGTCCATCCGCTCTGCACCTGGGAAGCCAGACGGCCTCAGAATGACAGCTTAGGTTAAATCCGGGTGGGGCAGAAATTCTAACAGGTGGGAGGAGGAGGGGACTTCCCAGAACAGACCCGAAGCACAGGGGAGCATTGGGAAGCTCTCATGATGGAGGGAATGGCGGGGAAAGTGACAATAGAAATATTATATAGTTCTCTTCTTACTGAGGGAGAGAAGAGAGTGACAGGATGTTCACACCTGTAATCGCTACCGCTCAGGAATCTATAGGAGGACCCCACAAGTTTGAGGCCAGCTGCACAACTTAGCAAGCCCTGTGTCAACCTAAAATGTTAGCCAAGCATGGTGGTGCTCATCTGTAACCCAGCACTCAGGAGGTTGAGATATGAGGACTGCTGTGAGTTCAAGGCCAGCGTGGGCTACTTAGTGAAGTCAAGGCCAGGCTGAACTACGTAGCGAGACCCTGCCTCCAAAAAGAAACAAACAAAACAACAAATAAAAATTGAGAAAGCACAGAGCACTTATAACAAGGTAGAAAAGAATAAAACTTCAAATTCGACAAGGGAAAAAGAGATCAAATCAAAGAAAGGGAAAGGAAACAAAGTTTTAAAATACGAAATGAGTTAAATCAAATATTGCAGTTATATTTAGTATGAATGGAGTTCTCCAGTTGTAAGACCAGCTCGAGAATTCGGGGTGCAGCTCAAGGATAGAGCACTTGCCTAGCCCTCGTGAGGCCTCGTGATCCACAGCACTGTACCAAAGGGCGGGGGGCTCTGAAATTTTGACATGAAACCAAGCAAAAATCCAGCAACGTGTTATTTACCACAAACCACTTAAAACTACTTCAGAAAGAAAGTTCACCAAGCAAAAGAGAAAGGCCAAAAGTCAAATGACAGCAGTCAAAGGCAAAGAAAAGGAAAAACCAAAGGATGGAATTCCTAACCTGGAGCAAAGTATATACGGTGTTAAATACATTAAGCAGGATAAGAGCAACATTAGTATGATAAAAAGCTCAGTTAATTTTTTAAAAAGATCCAACAGTAATAACGTTGCAGATACCTGTTCACAAAGCAGCTAAAATATAAGACAAAATTATTAAAATTCAAGGGATGCATGATTTAAAAAACAGCTCAGCAGGACGGTTTCAGTGTAGGCACCCAGAGAAGATAAATTTACAGACACGGGGAAAGGGACAAAGGACCAGCTCAGCCCACAGTTATTCAATAAAGCTCACATTTCTCCCTAGACAATATGTATTCTTTTATATGTACGCAGGAAAATTGATCGCAAAAAGAGTAACTTTTGAAAATCACACTTTTGAATCATAATCTACCAAATTAGAGATAAAGAGTAAAAAGGTGACAAAACAATTGTCTTGAAACCCTCAGATAAGGTCCAGATCAAAGAAGAAATGCAAACTGAGACCAAATACTGCCTGCAAAGAGCCAAAAAAGAAAAAAAAAAATCTCTGAGCCCCAATTAAAGCTACAGTGAAAATTTATCAAGAAAGACTGCTGCCCTGGAAAGGGGGAGGTCGAAGCCCCGGGGCCTCTCTGGAGAGGATCCCAGCGATTTTCCTTACGCTCAGGGACTGGAAATGAACGGCTGGAGGAACCTTGATCCTCTCCCCCATCCCTGAGCCCTGAGGGTCTCCTGAGAGCCCCCAGGGTGCGCCTGACACTTCCTCAGGACTTGTGTTGGAGCTGCCCCCAGCAGGGTCCTGTCAGACACCTCTCTCCCAGGGAGGACTGGGAAATGGCCCGGGATGCTACGCAGGCAGTGCTTTAGGGATGAACACTATTCTGTTTTATAGACGCTCTCCTACATGTGAAGTCATGAACACGCAGGGAGCACACAACAGATGAACAAAAGCCCACCTGGGGGTCACGGGCACTGTAATAAGCAGTAGGAACAGTGGGGTGCTGCACACCTGTGATCCCAGCGCTCTGGACAGCCGAGGCAGGAGAACGCGCGTTCTAGCAGAGTCTAGGAAACTAAGTGACAGAGAAACCTTGTCTCAAAGCACAAAATAAAAAGGGGACGGAGCTCTAGCTCGGTTCAATCTCCAGTACTCAGAGGAAAAAGCAAACAGAAAACACAAATAGGAATGCCCAGGATGGACACTGAAGAACTCCACAGCTCTGGCTTCTTCAACCTCCAGCCCGACTCCGGGCACTGCCCGGGCTGTTCCCTTCCCGGAGTGCAGTCCCCTGACCTCCCCCGGAGCTACCCTCTCTCACCGCCACCTCCTCAGAAAGGTCTTCCCTGCCAAGCCACTGAACTCTTCCCCAGCCTCTCTATCTCCTTCCCGATTACTTACCTCTGTTCTGTCCACACCCACAAGACCACAAGCTTGGAGCCAAGAAGGAATGTAGCCTTGGGATCCCCAGGGACTCACCCCAGGATTCCTGCAGACACTGAAGCCCTCAGTTACGCACGTGCCTGGTATAAAATGGCTCGGTGTCTGTGTAGGACCTATGCCTATGGTCCCATATACGTTAAATCATCGGTAGATACGGATAATACTCAATCCGTGCCAGTGCCATAATTATTACACATACCAGTGTAGGTCTAATAACAAGAAAAGGCCCCCCTGTTCAGTACATATGAGCCCCTCCTCCGTGTATTCTCAATCCGCCACCTGTGGACACACAAGCCCCTGGGACCTGTAGACTGAGGACAGTGGCAGAAGAGGCAGGCAGGTGTGGGATGGTCCCTGTGTGGCTCAGGAGCACGGCGTGTTCTATCAACCAACTCCACTCTCAAGGCCAGGAGGGACCAACGCTCTGGCCAAGGGGAGAGCCCACAGCTGCTGCAGAAAATCAGCAAGTAGAACGCACGTACCCTTCTCCTGGATGCTGAGGCTGTTTGTAGAGACCGGAGAGTCGGGCACGCGGGCGAGGGAGGGGCAGGGGGCAGAGCTCCAGGACAGCAGGCTGCCCCGGGTGCTGTTGCCGCCGTGGCCCCCGAGCCTCATGAGCCAGTGGTCAGACAAGGAGGAGCTGGTGGAGCCTGCAGAGGAAGCACAGAAGAAGGTGCACCGACCCCCACTTCAGCAACCAGCGGAGCATCCCAGGGCCACGCCCCATCCCTGCAGAAACGGTGCTGAATGCCAGGACAGACCTCCGCCTCTGGTGGGCACCGCTGTGACCGACCTTACAGGTTCAGGGAGAGGCAGGTGGGCACAGACAGGAAGGTGCCTGGAGGAGCCTGAACTGCTCTCTGGGGAACTACCGGTTACCAACGCTGGCTTCCTGTTTTTTAAAATTTATTTTTCCAGAAACAAAGGACTTCAGCACTCACAGTCACAGCCAGGGTCAGAGTTCCACTCCCAGGACCCCTGGCCTTAGTTCCCAGGGGTCGCCAGGCAGGAAACTATGTCACAGGAGCAGACCCCACGTTCGGGGAAATGCAGACTTTTATAATGGTCATAAGGGTGTCCACCCTTCGATCAGGAGGGAGGTATTATCTGCATCACACAGGACAGTGAGAAAAGCTGGCCTTCTCCACTGTGGCACTTTAGACTTTCAGGCTCGCTTGAGGTTTAACTTAGACCCGCTGAGAACTCTTGGTTTATCTGGCCATTTTTCGATGATGGTGAAGACAAAATCTGATTATTTCTGTTAAATGTTCTCCCATCCCTAAATTAGGATGGCTGCTTCGCAGAGTGGAACCAGTCACGGAAAGAAAGGGGGCCATTTGGCACATTTTTCCTCTAGACTTCAAAGCAAGCTTATAAATGGACTGCTGGGTACCATCAAGCAGCTACACTTTCTGGAGAGGCCTTGTACCCTTCTAACAGGACTAGCAAAGCTCCTAACACAGATTTGTATGTCACAAGCTTAATTAAATCTGGCTCATTAACAGCAGGGTTGAGAACATGGGATCCCACACCCCCAGGAGTCACCCTGCTAGGACTCAAATAAATCACACTCTGTTTTGCTATTTGTTTGGAGACAAGGTCTCACTATGTAGCCCAGGCGGGCCTCAAACCTGAGGCAATCCTCCTGCCTCTGCTTGCTGAATGCAGGGATTACAGGTGCCTGCCACCACACCCAGCAAAATCATTCTTTTCCCCTTCCTTGACTTATAGGACAGTCATCCCACACCCTGCAGACGAAAGAGCCTGCAGTGCTCGGATTTGCAGAGTGGTAACCTAGCCTCTCATGTTGGCCCTGGATGGTCCACTGAGAACTGCCCTGATTCTGAAAGTGACTTCCCAACCCCATCTCACCCCACCAACGGCAGCACCCACCTCGCATGGAGCTGCTGGCCGACCACGCAGGGATGCTGTTCCGCTTCTGGTAGAACAGGATGTACGCCCCTCTGGTGTTGACTTCATCTTCTCGAATTGGCTCCACCGTGCTGTCATCATAGCTGTACCACTGGCCGTCCAGAGAGTTCCGGCAGTAAGCTGCAAAGTCCCAACTGCAGTCTGAATGTCCAGAACCGCAACGGGCAGAGGACATGTCCCACCGGCCTGGCTGAAAAATGGACCTGCTCATAATGGAATGAGAAGAGGTCCCTGGGGGCTAGAAATGAATTCTGTGGAGTCAGAAATGATCACCAGTTACGCTCCAGAGTCTCACTGATAAACAGTATTGTTCCTTCCAGTTTGAAGCCTTTTGCTGTCATGGGTCAGATAAGCAGACAGCTCAGGCTCTGCAGGTCCCATGTGGTCACATGCACTCTGCCACGTACTGCTCTCTTTCTTTACTGCCTTTGATACTGGACAAGCCATGTTAAGCTGGAAAGGGTGGACACCTCTGATTCCAGCCCTTGGGAGGCCGAGGCAGGAGGACTGCTATGAGTTCAAGGCCAGCCTGGGCTACACAGTGAAAGCCTGTCTCAAATAAACGAAGACCCACACATAAAAATGTGATGTCTATTATGGTACAACGGCTTTCAAGCGATCAAGTGGACTTTGCAACTAGTGGTGGTCTTGGGACAAACTGTTATCTTCTTGGGGAAAAACTGGGTCTTGCTCTCTTAAGAGCATCAAGAAACTCCATGGAGAAGATTTAAATATAAACATGTAAAACCACAAAGTATAGAAGACAATACAGGCAAAACATCTTGCTTAAAAAAAAAAAAAGGCTTTCCAATCATTACTTGAGAAGTCATAAAAGAAACAATTGACAATTTAGTTACCTAAAAAAAATAACAATTGCCACAAATATAGCTCAATGAGGTAAGTGCCCATCTGAGAAGTGTGAGGTCCTGAGTTTAATTCCCAGCACCAATAAATAAGGAAAGAAGGAAGGAAGGAAGGAAGGAAGAAAGAAAGAAAGTTAAGTCATTTAAAGCTGGGTGCAGTAGAGCATGCCTATAATCCCAGCACTCAGGAGGCTGAGGCAGGAGGATTGTTGCGAGTTCGAGACCAGCCTGGGCTACAAAGTGAGCTCAACGCCAGCCTGAACTGCATAGCGAGCCCCTGTCTCAAAAAGACAGAAAAAAAAAAAAAAAGAAGAAGAAAAAAGAAGACTCTGTAGACTCTGTAGGGGGACAAATGTCTACAGGAATAGTCAAGTATAGAAGTGAGGCAGAGCTTGTTACAACACTCTGTTTGAAAGATGATGAACACAGCACCTGCCCACCAAGCACAAGTTTGGACTTCAACAGCTGCTGGACACAGGCAAAGCAGCTTAGACTCACACGGTTAGGAAGCAGTTCAATTCCACTGATACACTGTTCCCCACACTGGGCTAGCAAAGCCCAAAGGTGCAATAACGTGCTCCTGGAGAGGTAACAGGGAAACAAGCACTCTCCTACTGCTTACAGAGTGCAAATTCCTACAGTTTGTCAGGATCTGTCACAGTGCTAACAGAAGGCTGGGGTGTGGTTCAGTGGTAGGCACTTGGCTACAAACAAAGGAACACCTCACCGACCGAGCTATACCAACTCTGAGACTGTGCAGGCTTGTGGTGACGAGCGAGACACAGTGAGGTGGGCTAGCCGGCACACTCAGCCCGGATCCCTCTCAGCAGTGTGGGCTGTAAGTGTCTACCCTCCCTGGCCCTCTGTCCATTAAGGCTCTTCTCCCTTTGATCTTGTCCTAAGCAGGCTTTTTCTAGCAAGTGGTAGCCTGCGGTGTGAGCAAACACAGACCCTGGCAGACTTCTGCAGAAACTGGGTCACTTGTGACCTCAAAATTGCAGATCTGACCCCTTACCACTCACCCCTGGGAGGATCTGGACTTTGATAAGGCAAAGCTCACCATGTGCGTGCGACCAACCCTGCCTGTTCCTAGACTGCTCCTCAGGCCTGCTGCAAATCTACATCGGTGTTCTGAATTTCAATGAGGCTTTCTCGGGAGTTTATACACAATAAACCAGCACATTCCGCGTGTGAAATCACAAGATCCAGCCTTCAGCTGTCCTTACTTTCATCATTGTGAATACGAAGACCAATTTAGCTACGACAAGTTTTGTCTTAAAAAAAATCCGTGTTAATACAGCAAGAGAAATGGACATATATATATAGAGAGAGAGATAGATATATAGATATGTATGTATGTCATGCAGGATTTTTTTCTTCATGAAGAATTTCTGTTGAGCTATTTTTTAGGTCACAGAAGAGACTGCAGAAGTAGACAGAATGGTCCTTGAGGTAGGAAGGACAGCTTTGGAAAAACTGGAAGACACCACACAGCACTCCAACAGCTCTTGTGTCCCCTGCAACTTCAGGGTGACCAGGCCAGCCCCACCCGCAGACCCCTCTCAGTTCCTGCACTGGCACCCTCATTTCTCTCTCTCCACGGTGGCTGTACCATATTTCAGTGGACGCCAACATCCTAAACCTCTCGGAATCCCAAGGACCATCTGGATGAGCCTCCACTACTGTCCACGCAGTGTTCACTCAGCTGTTGCTTCTGCCAGGGGTGCTCCTGCAGGTTTTCCGCGGCCCCTGAGATACTGCTGGGACGTAATCAGGAAGCGAGATCAATCCCAACTCTCTAAAAGAGCTTCTCGGGATGACTCCGAACCACTGAGAGAGTTACCTAGCATTTTCTTTCTGCTTTACAGCTGCCAAGTTCTCTAGAGGAGCGGAAATTAAAATTACCCCATAAAAAAAACACACCAATCTGGGAGAAGTGAGCGTCCTTGTGTAGAATCACTGATGATGAGAAATAGGATTCTCTTGATTCCAGTAGTGACTTTCCCGTATCTGTCATGCCTAAAAATTTGGACAGCCACTAACTTCACATTACAGCCACCAGCTTAAGTGACATTAGCTTCACAGCTTGTAGCAGACACCATTCCCCCTCGCACACTCCCTGGTGTCCTGGTGTGCAGCAGGTGAAGGGCCAACCACCGTGGGAGCTCAACCTAGAAAGATGCCAATTCTAGAGCCATCTGGTGGCTCAGGCCACAACCAAGACTCCCAGACATGACCGCGTGGGCAGGGGCGGGGCAAGGCGAGCTCACCTGTGTAATGCCCACCTTGCAGGCTGCCGTGATGGTTGCAGACGGCATACAGGTCGTACAGGAAGTCCAGCGGGTAGGTGGTGGGCAGGCTGGCTGGCTGCTTCCAGGAGGGCCAGGGACCGGGCAGCGGCTTGCCGCTGGTACTCCTCTGAGCCACGTGGGGAGCCATGTCGAGTCCCGAGAGCGGAAACTTAATGAGCGTGGACAGCTTGTTCCTTCTCTCCCCCACCTGACAGAACCTTTTAAGGTGGATGATGAGGATGTCGGGCAGCGTCCACAGGCTCAGCTTCACCACGCCCTGCTGGAGGACTTTGCAGTGGGGGCACTTCCACGCATCATCCTGGGCCAGCTGGAAAGGAAGCCACCAGGCCTGTGAGGCCCCCTGCAGCATGCAGCCAACCCACCGCAAGGCAGCCAGTCCCCTTCCCGGCCAGGGAGTGATCCCAGGGCGGGACCTGCTCCTCCTTGGTGTAGAACTGAAAACACTCATCCAGGGTACAGCTGTGCTGCTGGTGTGCCTGCTGCTGCCGCCACACGCTGTCTGCATCGGGGACCCGCTCCTCCTGGAGGCTCCCAAACAGGCTGCATGGAGGGAGAGGACACAGTGGTGTTCAGGGCCCTCCCCTCCGAGAGGCCTCTCTGTCCCCTCAGCAAACCCAGCAGAAAATGCTGGCCAGGGACAGTTACAGTGCCCTTCCGAAGGCGTCCTGGGACCTCTTCTGCATATCCTGACTTTACGCCCCATCTGTGTTTCCTCCCAGCACCTCAAGCAACCAAGTCCTGGCTTACCTATGTTAGTTTTCCTAGTGCACAAGACCTCACGCCTGGTAGGAGATCAATAAACACTAATTGGGCTGGAAAATATTCTTTTTAAAGTATGGCTGATAAAGCCTAATAAAGATCCTAGACTTAACCCAGACATATATGAGCCAAGTGACTTTACTGTAGTCAGGGTTTACAAGGAGAATGATTACATATAGCACACATAATTTATAGTATTATTTATACTGGCCACCCAAGAGTTAAATACAAGAAAGTACAGGAAATCTGTTCATAACACTAAAGACCTAGAAAACCCAGCCGAGGGCCTGGATCCCATGGCAATAACCTGCATGAGTTCAGCTGAAAACACAGAGCCCGTGAGAATGACCCATGCAACTCTATTCCATGGATCTGCACTGGGAAGGCCCAAAGGTCAGTAGTGGACACTAGAAAGTCTTTGCCAGCGGGCTGAAGGAGCTGTGCCAGCAGGCCCAGGGTTCTGTACTGGAGCCAAATGTGACACTCAAAATAAGGACCAGGGCTCTCCTGAAAAGTATCACAGCCATCCTCAGTGACAGTGAGAACAGTCTAGTACACATCAGGAAGCCAGCGTGACAGCTTGTCCGGAGATTAAACAGCACACATCTTCCCCTCTGGAGCCAGGAAGCAATGCTCAGAGTAAGGACCAGAGCTCCCCCAAAGTGAACCACAGCCACTGTCAGCACCAAGGTCCTGAGCTCCTCCTTGCTATGGTAATAGCCAAGTTCTTATCAGGGAAGTTCACATCATAAGCTCCTCCAGGAGAACCAATGGCTCCAAACAATACCACTTTGGAGAACCCTTTTTATGCAGGCAATAGTCCCCAGGTGGGCCATCCACACTCAGTGCCACACTGATTCAGTTCAGCTTGTGTTTAAGTTGACTACCAGGTACCAATCCACTACAGCCCTTAAGCAATCCTTAACTTTTCTGTGCCTCTGTTCCCACCTCTGCGAAATGCAGACTGTTAATAGCACTTACCTCATGGTCCTTCCCAGGAAGATGTGAGGGAGACTCACATGCTCAGGGCGAAGGGCAGGGGCTACTGGCACAGGTGAGAAATGCACAAGCCCTGGCTCCCCCTAGCTGCCCTCTCATGACTACCATTGCTATCGGGGCTATTCACACACTGCCAGCTCTCACTAAGGTCCCCCAGAGGGATGGGCACACTGCTTCAGGCTGTGTACACCGCCCTTCGGTCACTCTGGGGAGCAGGGCCCAGAGAGGATTTACAGGGGAGGCAGATTCCACGGCTCACCATTCCTTGGTGGTACAGTCCCACTCCACGGCCAGCTTGACGTGGGGCGGGCCTCCGGGCCTCCTGAGGTGCAAAGCCCTAAGGGGAGAGAGCAAGGGAGTCCAGCAGGAAACACCGAGACTCCTTCCCACAGTCCTGCAGGGCTAAGCACTTAGTCTGCAACCTGGGTGGTGGTCCACACAGACACACCCTAAACCAACGGAAAACAGAGGTGAGCTATCTGGGGTTGCAAACTCCACTGGAGGGCTTGGGCCTATACCCCCATCCCACTCCCCTCATGCCCTTGGAAGATGGGGAACAAGGACATAGATCAACTGTCCACAGATCCACAGTCCCGTTACAGCCTCCAGTTAGCTTCTCAGTGTCTACAGAAAGCGCCACATGATCATCCCACACAAACAGCCAACGCTGGGGAAGCCCAAAGAGCTGCCGCCCACCCCCAACAGAACACAAGCGAACCCACACCACCTAAACATTCCTCAGACTCACCAGTGTATAGGAAACCCGTGTTAGGTAACCTATAGCTCTTTTCCATTTCAGAAAAGCCTGGCAGGACTCAACACAAAAGAGAGGAGACCAGAAGGAAGTGATAGGTGTGGGAGTTTCTCCAGAAATCAACAGGGGCAGTCACCAGGGAGACAAGTCCACACCCCAAAGACTTAAGAGGGACAAGCCAGGTGAGGTCTAAAATGATTCAATAGAAGGTTTCAAGCTCATGGAAGTTGCAAAGACCTCTGACTAAGAACCAGGGATCTAGGGGAGAGCTGGGGCACCTTCCTGCATGACCAAGAGCCAGCGGGGCCTGGGAGCAAGGCTTGGCTGAGAAGCTCCCAAGCTCCTGTTTGTGGCACTTTGTTTGGGGTGAACACTGACTGACTTTCCTCATCTTCCTGTAGACTTGAAAGAACTGAACTATGAGCATGGTGCTGCCTGGCCCGCTCCTTCCCCAGCAGGAGAAGCACCATTCCTGATGGGCAGAACAGGGAGAAGCCACTGCTTCTCTCTCCTTCCTCGCCAGGTCCTGAGCACAGCAGACCCGCACTCTCCTTCGCCCATGCCTTGGGCTCCCTAAAGGAGAATGGGGCTTCCTCTCCTGGCCGTTCAGCTCTTTGCACATCATAAGATGTGCCATGTTCTTTACGTTTCAAGCTTGAGGTTTCCAATCCAACCCTCCCACTCCACCAAGAGGACAGACAAGATGCCAGGGGGAGCTCTGCTGTTAACATCCAGGCTGGTCAGGAGACAGGAAGCCCACCATCTTCTCCCTTTGCTAATACATACAATCACTGTCAATGCTAAATTAAGGTAATATTCTCTCGGAAAAAAAAAAAAAACTCCATTTGATTCAGCTATACCTCTCCTGAGTATCATCTCCAAAGGGTTAAGGACATCATCCCGCAATGATCCAAGCCCACCTGTGCTTCTGCAAGCGTAACTCACACCAGTTAAATGTTGGAGATCGCACGTATGCCCATCAACAGAGGAAAGCCAAAGAAAATGTGAGATATGTACTGAGTACATTAATCTTAAATCATAAAATATGTATTTTACATGTGCCCCATTATATTTTTGGTTGTTATAATCTGAGACACTACTCATGAATATTATATGTAATGAATAATTATATATAATGAAGTACTAATCAGCCATAAGGAAGGATAAATTTATAGAAGTAACCATAAAGTTAAGTGAAATGAAATAAATCAGACATGGTTTTGAATTCTCAATCAGTTCAAAATGTTTACTTTTCATGATTATTTTGAGTTTGGGGAAGAGCCAGAATTTGATCATATAATCAAAAGGTTCTAGAACATTCTGGATTGCTCCATCCTGATTCTCTGTCTCTCTCATCAAGCAGCTTTGGTTGACAAAGTCAGGAAACCACTGAACAGTCTTGAGAACTTTGGGTCTGTGGGAAAATGAGCAAAAATGCCAGACAACAAACGTTTACAGCCAAAGGGCCTGCACTACACTGCTGGCCCTGCAGGGCTCTGTGGGGGGACAGGCTGCAGAGGGACTCACGTGGGGAGCCAGGAGACAAACCTTGCAGGCTTCTCCACCAGTCACAGTCCACAGCCCTCTACAGTGTGGGGCCAGTGGTCACATTCTCCTTCACCTGAGAGGGGTCACTCTGACTGGCTCAGTAGTGTGACCCAATCAAATGGACATGGGTGTTTTGGTTGTGAATCTAAGCTGGCCATTAACTAGTTGTGTGGGTGTGAGCAAGTTAAATCCTCTCTGGGACAGAAGGGTTAAATGAGCAGAATATGTTAAGGGTCCAGCAAGGGCACATACCCAGCCCCACTGTGCGTATTTTTATTGATACATAGCCTCACAGGAGTCCAGTCAAATCAGAGCACATTCAGCCTCTTACCAAATCGGGCGCCTCCCCTTACCTGTCAACTGCCCAGTGACAGAGGGGCCGACTGTCCTGTGGAGACAAGTAGCTGCAGGCCAGGGACAGTCCCACAACCCGGATGGAGAACAGAGATCCCAGGTTCTGCCGAGGTAAAGACACAGACAGGGTGTTAGGAATTCCAGCTGTTCATTTAAATTATTCTTCTTCTGTTAAGTCCTGGGGCTCAAACCCAAGGCCTTCACATGAGCTATAATTCCCGGTCCTGTTTAAAATTTTGCATTTGGAGATAGGATCTCATTTAGACTCTTAAGTATCATGTAAGTTAATCAAACATGTAATCACATTTTTCTGTGTATTTTGAACATTTCTTTAATAATTAGTATTTACAAATCAACAGATATAAAGGCTTTTTAAAAAAGATTCACACTCTTATCTTTTAACACAGTGATTTAATACTATGTTTTACATGCTAAACCTCCCCCCAAAAATAAGCCCAGTATATCTGAATAATAAGTGTTTAACTGGAGCAGATAGTGATTTAGTGGAAAATAAATCCATTATTAAGATATTCACATGACCCAAGATACACACATGACCAACAGGCATACCGAAAAATGGTAAATATCATTAGTAATTATAAAAATGGAAATCAAAACCATTTCGTACTTACTAGGATGTCTACAATTTTAAATTTTTTAGTAAAGTAAAAAAGGGAAATAACAGATATGGGTGAGAATGTGGAGAACCTGGACTGCTGTGGGGATGTAAAATGGCTCAGCTGCTGTGGAAACAGTTCGACAGTTTGCTTTGAAAATAATTCTCACAGAAATTACCACGACACCCACAAAGCACTTACACACCAGTGTTCACAGCAACGTTATTCGTGGTAATCAAAACACAGAAACAACATCAACACATGAATGGGTGGACAAAGTGTGATACCGACTCACGATGAAATTTTACTCATTTTAAAATAAAATAGCAGGGCACGGTGGCACAGACCTATAATCCCAGCAGCGTGTGTCAGGGGGGTGAAGCAAGATTACCCTGAGTTCAAGGCCAGCTTGGGGTACATGGCAAGTCTGAGACCAGCCTCAACTACATAGTGAGACTCTGTCTCCAAAACCAAAACAAAGGTTGGGCCAAGGTTGTGGTCCAATGATGTCGTTTTCCCGAGGTCCTGTTTGATCCCTGAGGCTGTAGGGACGTGGGGGACACCACTGCTCACTACCTCACTTAGGTAGGTAGCTTGGTGGCACAGAGTACTTTCCTAGCATGCACAAATCCCCAGCCCAAGAAAGACAGACAGACAGACAGAGGAAAAATGAACAAAGGAGAGAAAAGCAAGGGGAAGGGATGGTGTCAGGTGGCAATGGAACTTGTGAGAGGTCCCTTGGTCATTATGAGCATGTCTGTCTGTCTCTGAGTGTAAGTATGACAGCTTTGCTGCTGTACAATGCCACTGCAAGGCGCTATCACCTGCCACCCTCCCAGGAACCAAGTGTATACAGGTGCCATGTTGTTGAACTTCCAAGAACTGTGACCCAAATAACCCTTTTCTCTTTATAAATGAGTTTTCTTTGGGATTTCCCCGCAGTGACAGGGAGCTAAACAGTCCAAGGGCCTTGAGTGCGAAGCTCAGGGACCGTGTGCATCCACCTGGGCTCCACCATCCTCTAGCTGATCTACAGCTCTGAGAAAGAGAACACCAGTAAGGGGAAGCCGGCAGACTGCACAGCTTTGAGTCAAGAGTTGGCCGCAGAAGAGTGTTTCTAAAGAGCGTTAACTTCTGGGGTAACCTCTCCCCCCGAGACTCCTAACTCAGACATGTTGTCTGCACAGCAAGGTCACCCATCAGCAAGACGCAACACAGCGGAGGCAGGTAACTGCTCACAGGCAAACCAACCAACCTTTCCGGAAGTTTCCACAATGATAATCCTTTTCTTTCCTGTCCTCTGCTCTTGGCTAAGCCAGCTCGTTTCAGAGGCATCACTGCAATTCTCAAAGTTCCACCTTTTCAGTTCAAGGCTGAGAATCCTGAATGAACTCTTTTCCAGTTATTACCATACTGAATCAGTGCTTAATGGCCTATTAAAAGAACTGCGGGTTTAGTAGTGGACTAGCCTCGGAATCCCAACTTTTGGGGACATATTATTTCTACAGAAAACCATGTCTGACCACACATTTATTAATGAATCCATGGGAAAGCACCAGGGCCACGTGCAGGCTTTTCCAGTCTGAGTGTCGCTGCCCTCCTGGCAGCTTGGCCAGTTCTTAATATTGAAATGGCTACGGACGCCAGGCCTGGTGGCATGCATCTGTAGTCCCAGCACTCGGGAGGCTGAGGCAGGAGGGTCACCACAAATTTGAGGTTAGTCTGTACTGCATAGTGAACTCAAGGCCAGCCTGAGCTAAATTGTGAGGCCCTATCTCAGAAAGAAAGAAATGACTACAGAGATACAGAGCCAAAAATTATGTATCTGGATGAGGTAAAGCACAATAGCTGAGACAAATGCTCACATGAAAGTGGTTTGGTCCACTTTCAACAATCAGCAGCACAGATTCGGGGGCCGGCTACAGCTATTACTAGATCTGCTGACCTACTTGTGGAGAAGTTAGTTTCTAAATTGGGCCCCGCAGCAGATCTGCTCTGTAGTACACCGCACAGAAACTCTGGAGAGAGGCTGGTACAAATGTAGTAGAGGTCTTTAGCAAAGTGGTATTTGCTGTAAACCCAAAATCAGATGTTTGTTTTTTGGTTTTCTGTTTGTTTCCCGAGCAGAATGATAAAGAATTAGTTCTGACATAAGTTTGGTATGTCACCCAAGTGAAAGGGTCCTTCTAAGAATAGTTGGGAAAGAACAAAAGTCTGATGCAACTGACCCTGTCCCCCCAAAATTTCAACATCTTCCATCTGGCAGGCTGCCACTAAAATGGGTTCTGATATTATAGGAGCTGACACATCAACGGCTTTATAGGTACTGAGTATTGTGGCACACACCTGTAATCCCAGCACTTAGGAGGCTGAGGCAGGAGGCTTGCCTGAGTTCGAGGCTAGTCTGGGTTACAAAGTGAGCTCAAGGCCAGCCTGAACTACATAGTGAAATCTTATCTCAAAAAAACAGAAGAGGAGGAGGAGGAGAAGGAGGAGGAAGAGGAAGAAGAGGGGAAAAAAAGAATTTTAAATGTGGTTTTTAAAATTGGAAAACTACCACTTTGAGGCTAAATAAACAAGCCAAAGGCTGTTTGCCTTTGAGCTTCTCAAGTTCCTGAAAAACTGGACAAATTTGTTTTAATGTCTAGATTTTCACACACAGATATAATCATGAATTTTAATGTGCCACAGAGATTATATCTCAAGTCCTTTGATCTAAATGTGTAAATTGCAATTTACTACCAGGAAAACTGTGGAACATCACGAATGTCCAAAAATGAGAACAATAAAACAAACACTGCTCTTTATTCCAGCGGTGTCTGGAAAAAGATTTAACAAGAGAAAGCTCCAGCGAGGAAATGTGTTTCGTAATAGCACAAAGATTAAAACATGAGGGGCACAGACTGGCCGCATAAATCTAAGCTCTGTGATAAAAACAGCAAGAACCCTCTCACTCACAGCAAATCCCCTCTCCGGAGCTACCCCAACCCACTCCCCTCCCATGCACGCACCCGCACAAGCACGCACCCACCTGTGCAGGGGCCTCAGTCTTCATGAGATAGCGGACTTTACTGAGGATGCACTGCTCGAGCTGGGCCCAAGAAATGCTTCTGTCTTCCCTTATCAGGAAAGGCGGCCCAAACCTGGAAGTCCAAGGAAATCAGGTTATTTCAGCAAAGGAAAAGCAACAATGCCCAACAGGCATGAGCACTGCTCCTCTCCTGGCTCTGAACTGGGTTAGTGAAGAGTTTAGAGCCAAGTGCAAACACAACTGCTAACCACAGACCTGCATGACATAGATGACGGCGGCAGGCACACCGAGTGCTGGAGATGACACACGGCAGTGCAGACAGCTTCTGCAAGTGCCGGACTGGCTAGGAAGGCCCCTCCTTGCAGAGAGCTGAAGAGAACGGGAAGGCAGGCAGGCAGGCAGGGCAGTTGCAGGTGTGGTGCATCAGGAATGTTCTCGGTACTGGGAATGCATCCCGCATCCCACCCTAATAAAGCACACGGATGTGCCATGAGCACTGCAGGACAAATCCCTGGCCATTCCCTGTCCCAGAGTCGTGCAAAGACCAATGGCGTCAGAATGTGATATTGTTCTAGAAACATTGCTAAAAGTACAGCACAAGTCGGAGGTGACGCACCCAGACAGGGTTGGCGGATCTTTCATTTAACCCTGTAGCACTGAGCATTCGGTTTGCTTCTCATTTGTATGTAAACAATACTTTCTTGTGCATGCATCTCTGGCTGCACACAACCAACTGCTCCAACACGATAAAACTCCACAAGTGCAAAGGCAGACCAAAGTTCTTTACTCCCAAATTGTCCTCCAGAAAATCCATACCAACTTAGCAACGAGGTAAGGGTCCAGTTCCCTCAGTAAATAGTGATGGTATATTCCTGTAACCCCAGAATTCTTAGAAGATCTCAAATTCAAGTCCAGCCTGGGCAACTTAGCAATTTAGCAGGACCCTATCTCAAAATAAAAAGTAAAAAACAGTTGGCTGGAGATATAGTTCAATGTGAAGGCTTTGGTTCAATTTTCAGTACAGAAAGAAAAAAAGAGATTAGCTCTGGTCTTACTCTGAATGAGTATTATCAATTTCTAACAATTTCTTAACTATTGGAAAGTCAAAGAATAGTGTCTTGCCAGCCAGCTGTGGGTGCATGCCTGTAATCCCAGCATTGGGTAGGCTGAAGCAGGAGGATCACTGTGAGTTCAAGGCCAGCCTGGGCTACATAGTGAGACCCTGCTTCAACAAAAGAACAGTATCTTGCTTCTGAGCCAGGTGTGGTGGTGCACACCTGTAATCCCAGCACTGGGGAGGCTGTGACTACAGGTTCAAAGTCAGCCTGGTTCACATAAGCCACGCTCAAGGTGAGATTGAATTACACTTTGATCTCAAAACTGTACTTTTATCTCAAAAAACAAAATAAATGAAACAGAGAAAAACAGAAAACTATCTCGCTATTGCAACCAGAATGCTCTCTACTACTCGTGATGCTGAATATTTTGACCTGGGAATGTATTTCTTTTGTGAACTCATGTTACTCTTTGTGGGGTATTTTGTTTTATTTTTTATTGTTGCCATTTTCTGACATAGGGTCTCACTACGTAATTCAGACTGGCCTAGAACTTACTATGTAGCCCAGACTATCCTCAAACTCACGGCAATCCTCCTGTCTCAGCCTTCCACGTGCTGGGATTATAGGTGCGTGCCACCACATCCAGCTTCTGTGAGACAGTCATTCTATTGACAGTGTTTATCTCATGGAGAGAGCACTAGGTTTTACATGATGAATACGAATCTCTCATGTCACACATGTCAAATGTTCTTTGCCTTTTGTCCTCTGCCTTTAAATTTGTGCTTAGTTTAAATGTGACATATATTTAAAACATCAACCTTCTTTTGGAGTGCTTTTGGAGTGCTAAAACATTCCCACCAGTCTGAAACAGTATGTGCATAACTGTCGGATCGCAAGGGCTTGTACCACTGATGATATGGGTGGCACAGTCAGGCATGGGACAGTCAGACATGTGCCACCATGGTCCAAGCCACCCAGCAGTGAGACATACAAATTACGGCCCCATCAATGTGTGTCTGCTATGCAGAGACACAAATAAACCCCTGCATTTTCTTTAAAATGTATATATTTTGTTTGTTTGTTTCATTCTGCTTTTGGAGATGGAATCCCATTCTACAGTTTAGGTTGGCCTTAAACTCCTGATGATCCTCCTGCCTCCGTTTCTGAGTCCTGGGACTACAGACATGCACCACCATGCCCAGCCTTTTCAAAGATATTTTAAGGTTTCCTTTTCTAAAAATATCTTTCTATTTAATCTGGGATTTACACATATGAATCGATGGCAAGAGTAAATAAGTAATTTTTTTGGCTGAATATCGTGGCACGTGAGTGTAATTCCAGTACTCTGGGAGGCTGAGGCAGGAGAATCCCAAGCTTGACCCTAGTTTGCACAATTTAGCGAGACTCTACCTTAAAATAAAAAATCAAAAAGTGCTGGGATGCAGCTCAGTGCAAAGGCTCTCAGTTCAATCTTCAGCACCATAAAAAATAACAATTATTTAAAATAGAAAGAAATCAATTAGCCTGGCCTTACGTATTGAATAATTCAATAACTGTTTTATTATATAAAATAGAAATATGCTGTTTTATCATACAATAAATATTTAAAGACTTCAGTTTTTCTATTTGGTTAATTGTCATAATCTTTTATTAACTAAAATGCATTGTTTCAATAGATTAATTTCTCTTTTCTCTATTTCCCAATATTTTCTGGCTATCTTAGCACTTTACTATTCCACATAAATTTTTTGTTCTGAGACAGGGTGTCACTATGTAGTTCAGCCTGGCCTTGAACTCAGAGCAATCCTCCCGCCTCAGCCTCCCCAGCCCTGGGATTACAGATGTGTGCTGCACACCCAGCCAAGAATGTACACTCACAGAATACAATAAAATGTCTCCAGACGTCGTGAAATAATCAAATCAGAGTAATTAGAATAGCTATCACTTCAAATATTCATCATTTCTTTGTAATCCCTTTATTTGGACTATATTTAAAAAAGCTGTTTCTGCAGATGTGTGATGCAAACTGTCCCTTCTTCTTTCATCAGTTCTAATTACTTTCTGGCTCTTTGTGGCTCGGTGTGGTTTGTTTGGTTTTGTTTTGTTACGTGGCCCAGGCCAGCCTTGGACTCTTGCACTCCGCCAACCAGGAGCTGGGACTCCACATGAAGACACCACTGTGTGTGCCCAGCTTTCCTTTCCTTTCAAGAAGGGCCCCACCGAGTCACCCAGCCAACTCCTCTCTTCTTGTAGGCAGTTTCTTTCTGAGCTCCACGTATAACACTTATTCACACAACACTATAAACAGCGGTAGCGAGGGTAATCATAAGTATTCCTTTGCCTAACAGGAAAGCACTGGTGTAATTAAAGACGATGGTACCCACCTGCTAAAAGCAATTATTTCTGGGCCCCTTGTTCTGGAAGTACCCGACTCCCTACTCCTACTTTATTAATCTTGGGGATAGATGTTTAATTTTACCACGGTACAGTTATTCTAGGCAAACCCCAAGGACAGGCCCACCAATCCCAGACGCCACGTGAAGAAAGGACGGCATTAAACATACCTGCTCGCCTGCTGGCCTGAGCCCACCAGGTTGCAGAAGAGGATGAGCACCTTGTTCTCACTGGGGAGCGGCAGGGGGAACCGCTGGCCCTCCCGGGCCGCCAAGCGTGGGGACAGCAGCAGACCCAACGGACGGGCTGGGGAGACAAGGGCATTAAGGGTCCCTGCAGTGGCCAGAGCCTTGGCCTGCCCAGTCCTCTTTTCTGTCCGGGCATCTATTCGCCACCCGTGGGAGGATACCTGATGGCTTCTGGGAGAAAATACAGAGGCTCATGCATGTGTGCCATCTGTCACCTGCCATACACACATCGCTTGTACGGTAGTGACTCTGCAGTTATGCCAGAAGTAACTTTAAAAGAAGGCAAAGAGTTTAAGTAACTCTTTCCAAAGCAATTTGAAAAATACTGCAAAATAATTTTGGAGGGTTTGGGTTTTGTTGTTGTTTTTTCTTTTTTTTGCGACATGGTTTGGCTATGCCGTTCAGGCTGGCCTTGAACTCACTTTGTAGACCAGGCTGGTCCCGAACTCACACTGATCCTCCTGCCTCAGCCTCCTGAGTGCTAGGATGACACCACAACGCCCAGCTAATTTTGGTTTCTATACTTTGATCAGACGGCCCTCAGAGTACCCACAGTCTTAGGAAGCCAATTCAAGAAGTACATGGATAAGGCAAAAATCTCCCACGGAGAAAGGAGAAGGATTCTACTGTTCCCTATTCCGGGTCTGAATTGCAACTTTAGGAAAGTATCTGTCACTCATAATTAAGTCAGAAATGAAGTCTTGTTTCAGTTGCTTGTAAATCAGGGTCAGTCAACATTTTATCCCAGACTCCGGCGCCCAGAGTTTCCATGTTGTCTCCAAGAATATCAACATCTTGTCCTCATAGGCTGCTGCCTAAGCTGGCTCACAGTACAGGTCAGGGCAGAGGACTCATCTGCGGCACAGGAGTCACCCTTTATCAGAGAAAGACACACTCCAAGACATCCCAAGGATGTCTAAAACCTCAGAAAACACCAAAGTACCAAACTCTTAAAAAATGTTCTGGGCCAGGGGTTTACTCAGTGGCACAAGTGCCTGCCTGGCAAGTGCAAGATCATGGGTTTGATCCCCAGTACAAAAAAAAAAAAAATTAAGCTGAAAAAAAATTTTATATACTATGTTTTTTCCTATACATCTGTTCCTATGTTAGGGTTTAATTAATAAATTAGGTATAGTAAGACATTAGCAATAATGACAAAATAGAATAATTACACTGAAATAAAAGTTATTTAGGCCAAGCATGGCAGCATATGCCTATAATCTCAGCATTCAGGAAGCTGAGACAGGAGGATCGTTGTGTGTTTGAGACTAGCCTGGCCTACATAGGGAGCTCAAGGTCAGCCTGAACCACACAGCAAGACCCTGTCTCAAAAAGACAAAAAAAAAGTTACTTAAAACTTCTAAGTATGGGGTTAGCATGCAGCTAGCGGTACAGGGTTTGCCTAGCATACATGAATCCCTCTGTTGGATCCCTAGTATTGAAAAAACAAAACCAAACACAAAAATGAATTGTTATTTCTGGAATTTTCCACTTAACGTATCTGGACCATGGGTAATGGAACCTGTAGAAAGGGAAACCACAGATCGAGGGGGTTGCTGCATATTGTAACAAGGGTACAGGGTCCTTTAATATCGTCTTCTAGACTGGCTAAACGGGCCAAAATTTATACTGCTGACAAGGAAAGGCTATTAGAAATTGACCATGTTGCCAGGCACAGTGGCACATGGCTATAATTCTAGTACTCAGGAGGCTGAGGCAAGAGAATTGCCCCAAATTTGAGGCCAGCCTGGGCTGCATAGGGAGTTCAAGGCCAGCCGAACTATACAGCAAGAGCCTGTCTCAAAAAAAAAAAAAAAAAAAAAAAAAATTGACCATGTTAGCTAGTGTGAGGTTTAAGAAAAAATCATTACAAAGTATAACCATTAACAAAACGTTATCTTCTAATTTCTTTGGCCATTCAAATGTTCAGAAATTTTATTTCAAGCACAGACTTTACACTGCAAGAGTCTGAAAATAAAGATCACACCAGCATGTACACTAAACAGTGACTCCTAAAATATCCCTAGTCTGGCATCTATTGGGAAGTTGTCAAATATGCAAACTCAGGACCCACCCCAAGCCTACCAAACCGGAAATTCTGGGGGCAGAATCCAGAAATCCAGTCTAACAAAACGTCGTGGTAATCCTAATATTCACAAAGGTTCTCAGAACCTCAGTAAAGTCAACCATCAATCAAGCATCTGTACTTCAAATTGCAGAGAAAATAAGCCTTCCAGTTCCAAGTGCCAGAAGCAAATGTTTTAGGCCATCTCAAACCTACAACCCATACTACCCAAATAAAATTACGCAAGGTACCGTTGTACCTGAGAGTGTCCCCTGGCTGGGACACAGAGGGACTTGGAAGGCGTACACGTTATCTCCATCCGCTATGGTATTCAGGTCCTCTTCATCAAAGAAAGACCGCTGGAATCCGTTGGGGTACAGTTCAACCAAGATCACCTGGAACGAGAAAGATCATTTTCCCTCTTAGCTTCTCAAAGAGAACCTAACAGATACGAAGTCAAAAAGTAGCTAAAACACTTAAAAGTCTTTTTCACCCATCCTTCTAAGAGGTTACACATTTTAAGTAATAAAATACAGAGGGTATAACTGTTAGATTGACCACAGACATCTCATCTGCAACTAAAAGAGAATTTGTTTATTTATTTATGAGACAGAGTATCACTATGTAGTTCAGGCTGGCCTTGAACCCCCTACAGAGCCCAGGCTGGCCTCGAACTCATGGTGATGCTCCTGCCTCAGCCTCCCAAATACTTAGATTACAGCTTGTTCCACCATGCCCAGCAAAAAAAAAAAAAAAAAAAGAAAAATTTAAAGTTTTATACCCAGCTAAACTACATGAAAGAATTAGAATTAAATAAAGCCTTCTTCAGATAAACAAAAAGTTCCACTAAGTGAACATCTAAATAATGTTATTAACCTTTTTCATATTATGGTTAAATGAAAAATGTTATGAAATAAAGGTTTCTGGGGATGTTTTAAAGTGGAGGAAGAGAGAGGAAATGATGACTCCTTTGGGAGTCTTGGCTAATCCAGTCTCAACCGTTCAGGGAGAACAAAAGATTTGCCAAGGACAAAAGAATCAACAGCACAACACATGACTCACAGAACCCACTTAAGGAACATCAACTGGGAATTATCTTGTAAAAGATTCAGGATTAAAAATACAATAACTATCAGAAGTGAAGCCTAAGAGTAAAATGACTAAAAAATGATAAAATTTGGTAAATGTAAACATGTATTGACTATGTCAAACATAATAACCAGCAAAACTTTTACAAGTTGGAAGGGTAGGAGGTATTATAGAACAATTATAATACCGATCTACAATACCTAAGTCAAAAAAGTATAAAAGGAAAGCGTATCAGGATCTTTATGTTGTTTGATTTTGTTTTTTTGTTTTTGTTTTTGTTTTTTTTTGTCAGTACCGGGGATCAAACTCACAACCACGTGCTTGCAAGGCAGGTGCTTATGCTGCTGAGCTAAATCCCCAGACCCATGTTGTTTGATATTAACAATATACTTTGTTAATTATACATGGGGACATTTAATAAACAGTAAAAGAAAATATATTATGCACATTCCAAATCAGAGGACACAGAATTAAGAAAAATTGCTCAATTCATAAAAAGCAATAACAGAGTGCAGGAGGATCCTCTGCCCCCCAAAATCAGGAAATGTTGAATCAATAAAAATCATGAATAAGATGGTAGGAATGCACACAAACATATCTGTGATAATAGATATTACAAGTGGAATAAACCACCATTTAAAACGAAGTATCGAGACCCTTTAGGTGCTAGTCAAAATATTCATACGAACATCCCTGGAGATTTCTATCTCCCTGAACAAACATGTCACACCCTCAGATCCCTAACAGACCTACTATTATTCAAATTCTGTCTCTCTCAGATACTCCTCTTTGCCTCTTTTTTACTGCTATTTCCCCCCCAGATCTGTCTGTCTGTCACTCTGCTTCTCTGTTTATCTGTCTATCTCAGTCTCTCTCTCACACACACAAATATACCAGCATACTTCAATGCTTCTGCATTCAGAAAGCAAGATACATACGTATCTCCCCCTTTCTTGAGATCCTACAGGGAGAGATGGGGGTCAAAGGCATTGCGGGCAGGGGAGGAGCTGGGGAAAGGTTCGGTAACCATGGTGATTATACGGATGTAGGCGGGTGTAAAATCCAACAGACTCAGGATGGCCACACTGTATTGTAAGCATGTCATACCTTAACAAAAAAAGGTTAAAAATACTTTTTCGTATTTAGCAAAAACCCAATGAGGGAGTCACGGAAGTCTAAAAGGTAAAGAAACGGAGGGACCGCCAGCCACTTGGGTGGCCCCAGGTCAGAGAGCTACAGAGCAGCTGAATCACAGTCAGGCCTTATCAGAGCATCTCCGCTCCTCCACCTGGCTCGTCACCACCACTGCCTTGGCCCCACCATGTCATGGAAGCCCCTCCAGACATCGTGAATCCAATTCGCCAAGACTCCTCAAAAGCAAAAGTGAAAAACCACAGCCACCACCTTCCCCACGTCAGACACCCTCAGTCTCTCAGCCACGCTGTGTGTCCCTTGCTGTCCTCTGCAGAGCCTGGTGCGGGTCCCCACAAGGGCAAACACCGAGGAGCAGCTCAGGCTCTGCGATCAGACCACGCATGTCCAGACCCCGAGGCCTGAGGCTTCCTAGCTGGGAGCCCTTCGCCCTCAGGACTTTTTTCCTCACTAGCACAATGAGGGCAACCGTGATGCTGCTTCCAGAGTGGCTGGCATGAAATCGACTAGCAAAGGAATGAACAGCGAGGTCACGGGACAGTCCAGCCGTGGTAAGCTCGACTGAGGTGGGCTTTGATGAACCCAGCATCACTACCAGCTTCCAGAAGGGCAGGTGTCCTCCTCAAGGGGCAGGGAGAAGCCAAGGCCCAGTCACCTCAGACACCAGGCACTAGGACGCAGGCAGAAATCGTGAGCCGCCCTGGTGTCACTGGGAACCCACAGACAGCACAGGCTGCAGGGCTGTCAGGTCCGGGCCAGGCCCCACACACCTCTTCTGCAGGAACTCCGCCTTCCTCCGCCACCATCTTCCGCAGGGCAGCCACTGTGCTCAGGATGGGGACGGCCAGGCCCACCCGCAGGAACCGCTGGCTCTTACAGGGGAAGGCCAGCGTGACACTCAGGAATCTGGAAGACAGGACGGGCGCCACATCCTTAGGGCTGGCGGGCAGGCTCACCCACACCAGGGACTCTGACTCCAGCAGTCTTATGTGTCCTCCCACCAGGTGGAAGCAGAGAGTCAAATCTCCGAAAATAGCGAGTTGAAAACAGAAAGTATTTCGAGAATCACCATTTGGATCTCTGATCTCCAGCCCCTAACTGCCCAATGGGTAAACATCAAGCAAAATAAACCATGAAGTTAGAAAAACAACGCTTCTTCAAGAACAAGTCAACCTTACTGATGACTTTCTCCTCTTCTTAAAGAAATTTTCCCTTGAAAATCTCAACTTCTATCTCCCACTGTTCCCCCACCCCAGCTCTCAGATCCCTGTTTCTTGTCCTGCCCAAGTCACACGGCCAGTTAGTAGAGCTTGGATCTGCATGTCATACGGTATAAGCCACACTGGGGGTACAGACAGCACAGTGTTTCAGAATAGAAAAGGGGGTTAAAGCAGGCACGGTGGTGCACGCCTAAAATCCGACTACTTGGGAGGCTGAGGCCGGGATTGCAAATTTGAGGTCGGCTTGGAGGACTGACTTAGTACATGTGCCACCAAGCAGGCACATATACCTTGTCCCAAAGTCAAATTTTAAAAACATGTAGTTCAGTGGCAGAGAGCTTGGCTGACATGTTCAACCTGTAGAACCAAAAAATAAAAAATAAAAAAAAAGAGTAAAGGAAAGGGGGGGGGAGGAGGGAAGGGGAGGGAAGAGGAGGGGAGGGAAGGGGAGGGGAGCAAGATGGGTTATACTGTCAGGGAAGTCTTCATGCAGATGTCGGATCTGCTGTATCTTGAAGACAAAGACAACTCAGGAGGCTGAGGCAGGAGGTTCGAGGCCAACCTGGGCTACAAAGTGAATTCAAGGCCAGTCTGAACCATATAGGGAAACCCTGACTCAAAAATGACCAAAACAAAAAACCAAAGATAGAGACAGTGGACAAGTGGAGGGCAGGAGGCATGGCTCTTCGGGAAGTGGGGCACACAATGGCCGTCACAATGCCAGTAACACCCGCGCACACGGCAGCTGGCTGACGCACGTGCACTGACCCTGGCGGCTGCCCCCTGGCGGTGCTGGGCCTCGGCTTCTGGGAGGCTGCAGCCCTGCTTCTGGCTTTTGCACGGCAGGGCTCACAGTGCTCTGCTTTTCTTTTTCTCCTCCCTCAAAACCACCCTTTCCCCTTTCTGTGTTTAAGAAATCCTTCTCCCACATCTCCACAAAGAGAGTTCTGAAATAAAGCAGGGAAGAGGAGGTGGTGACCGGCTGGCTCTGGTTTGTCCCTGTCTAACCACAGGGTCTGCTCCAGCTCCAGAGTGGACCGAAGACCAACACCCGGCCACAGCCCTGGTGCACGGCCAGGGAGGGTCAGACCCAACTCCCCTGCCCTGGGGCTCATTCTCCCCAGTCAGGAAGGGCAGCAGGTCCATCACTGAATGTCATTCAGCAACAAGGCCGGTTTCCAGAGAGGGAAAGGCTCAGCGAGAAGTGAAATAGAAATGTGGGGGACTCAGGGTCCGGGGACCCCATTAGTAACCAGAAGAGGGAAGCCAAGGGCACTGACAAGCAGGACTCTCACGTACCTCGTCTGGCGCAAGGGGATCGGGAGGGACACGCACAGGAAGGGATCAAAGGTGTTGCTCTGTTTCAGGCAGTGGGGACATGTCAAGGACGATCTGTGAGGACAAAGAGAGAGAGGCCAGGGTCATCACGGGGAAATGGCCCGCTGGTCCCCTGAAAAGTTACAGACAGAGTTACCACTGCAGAGCCACACCCAGCAATTCCCTCGCAGGGACACACCCATTATTGAAAACAGCTGTTCAGCGGATCCGGGGACACACACGTGCTTTCCAGCAGCCGCTCCCAAGAGCCAACGTGCAGAAACAACCCGCCTGCCCTTCCTCCGGGCACTGGGCGGACAGATGCGCCAGATCTGTAAGGTCTAGAATACAGCTCGGCTATAAAAAGGAGCGGGCTCCTGAGACGGTGGAGGAACCCTGCAAACACGATGCTAAATCTTCTGCAAGACTCCAGCATCAAAAGGCCCCACTTTGTACCCTCCTCTCTACGTGACATACCCAGAATAGGTGAAACCAAAAAGGACGGAAAGCAGAGGGGTGGTTGCCAGGGCCTCGTGGAGAGGGAGGAGCGTGGTAGCTCACCAGGTACCAGATTATCTCTCTGGGTCTTAAAAATGAGTAGGAAATCAAAAGCAGAGTGGCTGCACGGCATTGTAACGGTACAGGCCACTGAGCCGTAGAGTTGTCATTGGATAATTTAGCTAGCCATGGTGAGGAGCATCTGTAACACTTGGCAGGCTGAGGCAGAAAGGTTGCTCGAGCCCAAGAGTCCAAGACCAGCCTGGACAGCGTGGCAAGACCCTGTCTCAAGACAGAAAAAGAAAAAGGGTTGGGGGGATACTTTTTAAAAAAAAAAAAAAGCAAAATGGTTGATTTTATGTTGAAGAATTTCAACCTCGGGGCTGGGGATTTAGTTCAGCGGCATAAGCGTCTGCCTTGCAAGCGTGTGAAGCGTGTGGTCATGTGTTCAAACCCCGGTAACCGATAAAAACAACAGCAAAAACATTATAAAAAAAAGAATTTCAATCTCAAAGAAATAGGGGTTACGGTTTATATCTAGATTCAGGTGCTCGTAGGCGGGGTTCTGGGAGGAGGCTGTATTGTGGGGTGCTATGCTCACTGGGGGATTAGCCCGCTAATGAGAAAAGGGGTGCCTGGAAAAGGCGGTCCCCTCAGCACCTCCCTTCTTTCCGTTTCCCGGCTGTTTCCTGGCTGCCATGAGGCAAGCAGCTATTTCTCCGCCACGCCCTGGTGTCACTCCATCCCACCGGGAGCTGGCGTCTACGGAATGAGACGGGCTGAAACAAACCTCTCCTTTAATTGTAGGCGTTGGGTATTTTATCCCAGCAAAGAGACAGTGACGAACTGGTGAAGAAAGTCTTAACCCCACATTAGCGCACGGAGCCTCTGAAGGGCCACTGTACCCTCCCAGCGTGCCAACTTCCTAGCTGAGGCGCTTTGGGGGCCACCTTTTCCTCTGGGCGCCAGCCTTCCTGTGCCCAGAGCCACTCAGGCACTTTCAATGTCCAGACCTTACTCCTAGAGAGCCTATTTCACAGGAGGTGAGAACGGCCCAGACATCAGAATTGTAAGTCCTTTACTTAAAGGACAAGAAAACAGTAGGCCAGAGAGCAGCTAACAGTGACAGCTGACACTGAAACAGTGTTTCCTAGGACCTGAGCATCGTTCTGAGGGCTGGGTAGGTACTAGTCTACTTACACATACCCACCAGAATAATACCCATTGTACAGCAGAGGAGACTGAGGCAAAAAGAAAGCAAGCTACCCCCTAAGGGGTGCATGGCTCCTAGGTAACAAAGTGAATCCGGACTCCTCATCACTGCTGTGATCTTTAGTATAAGTGAGGCATGGCCTGTCTCACACTAGCAATGCGTATTACTTATATTTTTCATTTCATTTTATTTTAGTTTTTGTCTTTTTGAGACAGGGTCTCACTATGCCGTTCAGGCTGGCCTTGAACTCACTTTGTAGCCCAGGTTGGCCTCAAACTTGCAGCAATCCTCCTGCCTCAGCCTCCCGAGTGCCGGGTTACGGGCGTGCACCACCACATCCAGTTTTTATTTATATTTCTCAGTTCTTATCAGTTTGACCCTCCCATAGTCCAGCCAGTATCTCCAAAAGTGAGGTACAACTTCCACAGTGCCTGTGGGTACTACTGCTTTATTTTCCTCTTTGTGTAATACACCACATTCTCCGAGACATGAGGGATTTCTGCACACGGTGCTAAAATCTGCACCCACTTGCTTGGCTGCGGAAGAACTGCCTGGCCCTGGAGTCTGCGCCTTCACCACTGGCCGTCAGCTGGGACACCTCAGCAGTAGCTAGTGCTGGCCAGTGGTTTTCCACTAAGTAAGCAAAATAAGAAACACCAGAGACTAGCAAAGATGTGGGCCTAGGGGTGCAACCCCAGGTGAGCCCGAGCTGCCCGCTGCTCATCCACTTCTTATCAGAATGGATATGGGTCGCCAGAAGGGCACAGTGATTTTAGAAAATAGATGCCAATGGGTTTAATTGCTTTGCGGTGCTCAGGATCAACCCCGGGGCCTCACAAATGCTAGGCAAGCACTCTACCACGGAGCTACAACCCCCGCTACCCCCAGGACCTTATGTCTGAGCTGACTTCCGATTCTGATCACTGCCTCTCAGAGTCCCCCTTGGGAGAGCTCAGGGAGCGGGTGGTGTCAGACTGCCCAGGGCCGAGTCCACGGGGTCCCTTGTTACCCTGTTTCTCTTCCCATCTTCCGTCCACCTTTTCTCACTGCTTACCTAGGCATAAAATTGGCCTGCAGGATGTATTTTTATCTCTGGGTAGTTTCCAAATCCCGGTTTCACATTTGCGCAAACAAATGAAAAAAGGTATTTTTTTGTTGACTTCTTCATTTTTTCCCCAGCCTCCTGAAACCAAACACGGTTGCATTTTCTCACAGATGCATTGTATTAAATTGGCTGGGGACTGTGACCTTTAGTTTGAGCCCCAAATCTGTGCTACGTAGCAAGAAATGTGTGGTTTGGGAGAGCAAAAAAAAAAAAAAAAAAAAAAAAACCCACAGAACAGGCTGTTTATTTATTTGATTTCTTTTGCAATTCTGAAGACAGAACCTAGGACCTTGGATATGCTAAGCACTCCCTGACTTACATCTTCAGCTGTCTGTTTAGATTCAAGGAACAAAGGAAATGTATTGGTCAGCTTCTCACTGCTGTGACAAAACACCTGACACAGCTTACGGGTGGAAAGGTTCACTTTGCCTCCCCGTTAGGGAGGCTGCAGCACACATCTGCTAGCTCCGAGGCAGGAACACCACGGCAGGAGCGGCCTCAAAGTGAGCAGCAGAAGGCTCTGGGGAGGAAATGACGGGGGACCAGACAGGGTACCCAACATCATGCCAAGACGCACTCAGACTCACCCAAAAGATACAAACAAAGACAGAGTCAGCCTCACCTTTAAGGAAAACCCTGGCTATTTCACCAGGCTATCTCGGTACCCAAAACATAGCCCGGGAGGGTTCATCATCACCCTTCATCATCACCGCGCCTTCCAGAGGATTTGCTGTCCTGGTCTACGGTCCCCTAAGCACTCACAGGAGACAGAAAATTGTCCCACTGCCCTTCGATGGTCAGAACCCATCTCTTCATGCTATTTGTTCCCCTTCTCAAATTTCTTTCCTTGTGAAGCTAACGTGCTACTCAGCTGCCACTAAAAGTCAGGAATGCAACCTGCTGCAAATGCTCAAAAATGGGTCCGCCCTACGCTTTGACTGCTGCTGGACACACACATCTTACAACTTAGACCTGGCCAAACCGACCTGCCGCTGGACAGCGGGTTGATGCCTATGTAGACAGCGATCTTGTGACAGCACATAAGCATGACTTCACCTTTCCAAGATCTGTTCTGAGAAAGGCTTTAAGGATATACTTTGCCCGGCTGGGCATGGTAGTGCATGCCTGTGATCCCAGAATCCATGAGGCTGAGGCAGAGGTGTCACTGTGGAATTTAAGACCAGCTTGGTCTATATATCAAGTTTAAAGCCAGTTTAAACTACTTAGCAAGACCTGGCCTCCAAACACCAAAAATAAGTAAATAAAAATAAAGAAGCAAGATGGGTGGATGTCCACTGCCTAAAAGGTAAGGCTGCCTGTAATGGAGATAACAAATTAGATTTCAGGGAATAAAGGTTACAAATGACATGAAGAACCTGGAAAACACACACAGAACCTGGAAAACACTCCTCCAGCCAGTGCTCCAGCACAGCAACAATCCTGAGTTATTATTAAGCTTGTAGGCATTTTTAGATTGTGATAATCATCACACAAAATATTTTTCTGTAGTCCATAACCTCCAGCATGCCACTACGATTCCTCCATCTTTCCTCCAGCCAAAGACAAAAATCTATCTCCTTAAAAGGGGTTTAAGTGGAGCTGGAGGTACAGCTTAGCGGCAAAGCCCTGGTCTAGCATGCATGAGGCCCTGGATTCAATCCCCAATACTACAAAAAAGGGAGGTGCAGGAAGATCAAAGCGCGAAAGCCTCAGTGAAGACAGGCCTGTGCATTAACCCCTAATCCCACATCCATCCTCAGTTTCATAAACAAGATCCCACCCCAGGCAAGGCCTGCTCCATGGAGAGGGCAGACACAGCGGTACCACCATGCACGGACGCTGGCCCAGCCCTACCGCTGCAGGGCTTCCCAGGCCTCCAAAGCCCTCTGGTCACTGGGATCCCTAATGACAGTTTTCTCCACTTCAGAGGCTCAGGAACAAAGCAGGTATTTTTAGCTGTTACCAGGGCATTTTCAGCATGAACACTTCACCTCTTACTTTTTAGTCTATGGAAAGAAATCCACCCAAAGGGCACTGCTGGTCCTTAACATCTGATCAGCTCAAATGTCTCTTCCTCAGGGATCCTCCATGCCTGGCTCACCCCACACCAGATCAAGCACCGTAATACGGACTTCAGTGACTCTGAATTTCTCCCCCAAACATTTATTAGTTACAATTCAGTAAAAACACTGGAGTTGCCCTAGATTCTCATCTTTCCCTCTGTCCCTCTACTCCACAACCCTAAAGCTACTGGCAAGA